GTTGTTTGACACCTGCCGTTTTACTCCTCGGTAATTATGCAGTAAAAGACCTTCACTCAGGTGATACACAAACCCTCTCATAATGTCAAAATGGATTAGTGGTGGTAAATAGAAAAATCAGGGCATAGGTCTCTGAAGGTTCACAGATATGGCTTTTAGGCTTCCAACCCCCCACCAGCATTCCTGTGCATGAACCTAGTGAACTTACTCTGGGTTCATAGAGGATGAAGACAACCCCCATCCTCATCCTCATATTGCCACATCCCCCCACTGCTTACAGAGCTTGGTTTTCATCCTTCCTCTTTCTTGTGTTTTCCATTCATGGCTTTAAAAATTCAATAAGTGTGAGTGATCATGTGGATCTGGTTGTGAGTGGTAATTCTCTCAATTTTTTTTGTTTTACCAAAAGTATAAGAATAAAATACATTTAGAGTGTTGTTTTTTTTATTGGTTGGGTTTTCAAAATGTTCAATTCTAATCTTTTTTTCTCCTTCCAGTGAAACCTCATATGAAACCAATATTTTGAGATGGACAACAAATATATATTCTCCGTCAACATAAATCAGCAAAACAGACACACATTTAGGCTGTGTTCTCATTTCCATACTCATCAAATTTGGGGCTAAACCCGGAACTATCTCCGAACAAGACTAGACCATGACTCACGCTTGTTCTGGTTCGAACCTGGTTTGAGGACAAGACAAAGTCCACATATAGTCTTGATGTGGACTTGGTCTTTTCCTGTTGCCCTTGTCCCTGTAAGAGGCAGAGGATTAAATAAGGTCAAACTCCTTCTCACTGATTGGTGGGTTGTGCATTATCAGCTCTATCTCATAAATCTAGTCAGAATTATGTAACTGTATTAATTTTCTATTATTATATCACATCTGATGCAATTCTATCTATAGTCTATATGTTAAACTGAGAATATGCAGGGGTGTTGTGAGGCCAATAGCCCCACCCTTATCCTGGTTCAAACTAAATCTGAGCCCTAGTCACGCAAGTTTAGTTATGACTTCAGTCCCTTCAGCCCAAACTCGCACTGAACAGCACCAAACCAAGTCTTCATCAGAACGAAACCAGGATCAAACCAGCTCCAAATCGGAACACAACCTGAAGATTATAGTGGGTTATGGAGTGGGCTACCGTCTCAAACAGAATAAAATGTATAAATCTATCCTTAATTATGAAACTATGTATTGGTTTTCTAGGATTTTAGCACAGAACATGAACACGCCCAGTGGAATTCTATAAGTAGCGTATACCGTAAACTGAAAACATGCAGGGGTTTCATGAGGGCAAGAGCCATAACAGGTGTGTCAAGACACATAACAACAGAAACCTGATCTTTCAGAGGGAAGGGACTGGCCTTAAAAGAACTATAGTGTAAACTGTCTATAGGACCTACGTACCAGGCTGGATCACGTTTCTGTTACTGGGAAACAATTATGGTCATGTCCTCAGTGCACCCACAAGCAGCCACTGCAGACCTACTTTATTACCACACATGTCTGCACTCTTTATACAGGCTTTCAATTGTGGTCTTACTCAAGAGTTTCAGCTTTTTGTCGCATGTGACTTTTCAAGAACCGTTAAAAATGTATTTGTTTTAAAGGCAGACCATGTAAGTTTTCAGGAGGAGGGTGGTGCATCACATGATTGTCTCAGTGGAGATTACATTACTTTCCTAGAATGTTCCACAGTATAGCGTTAAACTATTTTGTATTTATTCAAATAGGTGTTTTTACTGCTTAAAAATCCCTAGAAAATCTGAAAAACTACTCCACAGACCTGACCTGTAATTTAGTCTAATGGTGTCACCTGTTTCTTTCCTCGAAGATAGATAACTTTAATCCTTTACTGTGGAACATTCTAGGTAAAGTGATAACATCTCCATGGGGACAAATAGATGATAGACTCTTCACCTTAAAAGTTACATTTTGCACCTTTTAAACTGTTGATTTGTTCTCACAGCAAACACTCATTTTCATCATTCTGAAACCCATGAATCTGAGACACTGCAGTTCAGAATATTTATGAATACTCTGTAAATTTAGAGTCTAATTAATTGGCTACTGTAACTTAATGTTTGTGCCTGTGCCAAATATGGTTACTGTGCTGATGTTTATATTTAAAGAGTTTATATTACTAGGTCTTGTGCCTATTACTTTTCATTACGGCACAATTGTAATCATTTTCTTATGACAATGAAGACAGTCACTCTTTTAACAAAATCATCAAATAGAGCAAATCAGCATGCTAAACTGCACACAGGAAATTCATTGGGCAACCTTTCAACATTTCTAAATAAATAGTTCGTCTTGTAATGGCCCATGACTCATTTTCCTTCAGGCAAAATCAACATTGTTTTCAATTAATTAGAATAATTGCTTAAATGAGATAATTTGGCACTGTAGGTTCCATCAGGTGCCTTTCGGAGGAACAGTCTAGTCTGCACCCACTCCTCATTTCTCAACCCCACCCACGGGTTTAATATGTCTGAGTGTTTGTCATTCAATATCTGCTTCCTACAACATTGCACGTCTAAATTACATAATGTCTGTAATAGGCTGACGTGAAGGCTATAGGCGACCAGAAATGTCTTTACATCTTAACGTAATCTTTTTTTTTTTTTTTTTTTCTGATCTTTAATTACTATTTTTGATGTTTTTTGGGGGGGAGTCTAATCGTGCGTAACAGATGGGCAGCACCCAGACTCCAGACGCTCACATTTTAGGAGAAAAGCCATGTGCCCAGCCGTATACGCAGCCGCATCTTCACATGTTTGATATATGGCATCGCTAGGAGATTTGTGAATGAAATCAAAAGCCCCTCCCCCTGCGAGGATACGACCTATAGCCTACGAAAAACAGCCAAGGACACGCCCATTTTCCGTGCACACTGCGGCCAATGGGAAAGCGAGAAGCGCTACGAGCGTTGCATAATTTTGCATGACACGGTTCACGTTTGAGGAGGCCGGTACACGCTGTGAAAAAAGGATGGGGAGACGTACAAAAGAACGGGGCACAAATTAAACACCAAATTCATGCCAAAAACGTGAGTGCCTCGTTTCAAATAAAAGAAAAATAAACTGATTTGGCGAGATTAGATTGCTCAGTTCAAGGGTCATTAAACATTGCCAACTATAAAAGAGCAGGCTATTGCTCACTCTAGACACCATATGGTTTTTCTCATCCACATTTATTCTAGCCTATTCTTAGCCAATAGCCCGTTTTATTGATTTGCCAAACGTAATGCAGTGGATGATGTAATGGCCCTTGCAGTTTTATTTTAATATTTAAGCTGATTCTCAAGTCGAGTGTGATGTAATCTTGTGCATCAAAGGTCCCGAGTTACACACATAGGAATTGAAATAATGCCCCCTGGACTTGGTCATTACTGAATAACAACAGATATATGGCTTTATTTTATATAATAAACATATAGTAGAAATGAATGAGCTGCTTTTATGTTAAAATAGTAGGGTTTGTTTTTGTGTTTTTATATAGACTAGTCCACGTGACCAAGGGGCGTTTATGCACATGTCTTTGTAAGGAGCTTAATGACAGCTCAAAAACAACAGCATCATCAGCACCACAATGTTCTTGTCCATCGTTAAAAACTGCGTGTCTGTTTTTGGGATTGAGTGTTGTCAGGGGCAAGTATTATGTGGATAGGGCTCCATCTAGTGTTCACATCCTGTATGTATATATGTAGTACATGCAGTTAGTCCATGAACCATTGTAGTACCAGAAATCATATAGTAGGCCTATGGTCAGTTTTATATACATTATCTATTTGACTGTTTTGTCTATCCTGTCCTTGTTTTAGTGTTACTTTATTGTCAAGCATCTTTGTTTTACAGTGAAAAGCGCTATTATCATTGGGGTGTAACAATAACCAAATTATTGTGATACTGTATCATCAAAAGTCTATAAATAATAGCATGGGCCATCACAATATATCAAATAACAAGTTTCTTTGCTTAAATTCATTGTTATGGTGCAGCAGTAGCTAAAAAAAACAGAGGAAACTACATCAACCATGATCCTTTGCTCCGTTTTGGTGCAAACTACATAAAGAAATAGCAGTTCTAAGCACTTTTAAATCATATTTCTTGTCAAAGGCATTTCTTTCTAAGTCTTGTCAAGGCAAGAGGAAAAAGCAGCCTCCACAAAATATCACAATAAATACCGTAACGTGAGATGTATATTGTGAAAATATCGTACCTTAAGATTTGGATATCGTTACATCCCTAATTATTATTAAAAGTAGTAGTATTTATTTATGTAGCCTGATAAAGAGCAATAAAAGAAAAAACATGCATCATAAAATATTGTAAATGAAATTGGGGTTAAAATATGAATATGGGATCTTATATAATAAAGAAGTGTTGATGTTATTTTTATTAATGAAATTACATAACAACCTTTTAAAATAAATGTATAAGAGATCATATATGCATGTTACGTTGTTACATTACAATAAAAATAAATATAGGAACCAGATCATTTAAAAATTACTGAAAAAAAGATCACCACATTGATATTTAAATTACATTGACTACCAATACTAATATAATAGTACTAATTATAATAGAGTTTAATATACATACAGTAAACAAGTGTTTGGAATTGTTACAGGTAAATATATGGGGATAATATTTTTTATATATAAATTCTCTCGTCGTGTACCTGCCAAATAGTATTTTCTACTTTTCAAGTAAGCAAAACCTTACTCAATTTCTTCTGAACCATTTCTTTTTCTATGTGGAAAAGTCCTGCCTTTTCTAAGCCTATTATATTCTAGAGTCTAAACGAACCATCATCCGCCTGGCTCTGGCTGTGAAATGGGGGCAGGTGGAACAGTGGACCCCCCTCTCTCCTCTCTCTCTCTTCTCTCTCCTCTGCCCCCCTCTTTCTCTCTCTCTCTCTCTCTCTTTCTCTTTCTCTCATCTCTGTTCATACTCACTTGTGCATGATTGTATGGGGGCACAGGACTAACATGGACTGTTGGAGTCTTTTTATTTTATTATTTTATGTGTTTCTATTCGATAGCTGCCCAAGATGGTAAGATCCTTAATTATTTAGTCACAATATCACTCTAGACTATTTCTGTAGTCATTTATTGCCAGATTTGGAGGATAATATCAATGTAATGCAATCATTGAATCTTACCTGTAAAGTTTAACAACATTTATTCGTAACATTTATTTTCTATTCGTACAGAAAAGCTTCGCTGGACCTACAGTGGTAAGCAAAAGTTTTCTTGTTTCTTTCCCCCAGGCTAACTTTAATAATAATATACCAATTTGGATTAGATTTGTGGCATTCTTTCATTCGCCATTCTGATCCTGGTAGTTACACGCACGAGAGGTCAAATCGACTCTCCAGACTGTTTTTACATTACTGAAATCTTTGAATGCTCAAAGACTGAAGAAAACTAAACTAAAACTGAAGTCGGATTAGTCGTGGGTTAGACCTGGAGTTCCTAATGGTTTAGACATGGTTTAATCCTGGTATAGTTCTAGTTTAGTCTTGGTTAGGTTCTGGATTGGTCCTTGCTTTGCTCAATTCTGGTTTAGTTAGAGTTTATTCCTAGTTTGGTCCCAGTTTTAAGTAATCCTTATTAAGACCTGGTTTAGTCCTGGTTTAATCCATTTTCACCCTTGTTTATTTTGGTTTATTCACTCTTTCTTTAACTAATTTATGATTTAGATTTGGTGTGGGTTCCAGGAGCACGTTTCTCCTCGTACAGACCTATTTTAGTCCTGGTTCAACATTTCCCCATATCTAATCTTGTTTAGACTATTTGAGTTGGTCTTAGTCCTATTTTAGACCTGTTTTAGACTCGATTTAATCCAACCCTCTACTCGTTTAGACCTAGTTTTGTCCTGGTTTTGCTCTTCTTTTCTTACTTAGCCCCATTTAGACTTTAGTGTTGTTTTTAATCCTGTTTTAGACCTGGTGTAGTGCAAATTACTCCTTACATTCCAAATGCGACCCTGAATCCCATAGATGTTGTGAAGTGGAGGGCTTGGGGCAGGTGCAGAGACAGGGCGATGGGACGGACAGGGGCTAGCATGGCCTCTGCTGCCTGCATTGTTACTGCAGCACAATAAGCCATGTGTTAATTGTGTTGTGGTTGTACACTAGCTGCCTATACCGCGGACAATGGGAATGAATGGGCATTTCTCTCACATTCAGCCTATACTGTACGTAAAGCAGAGAGGGGAAGACATTAGTGCACAGAAGTGTATGGATTACTCAAGTTAAAGATGTGGTATGCTTTGGGTTGGCTCAGTGAGGAAAAAAATGTGTTTCTCAAAAAAAATTGCTCATTGTATTTGACTGGGCAGGAGGCAGATTTCTGTGTATACATTACAAATATCAAAAAGCAAGATTTATATTGTGATTCATTCTGTAATATCAACAGATTACTATTACAAAAAATCATCAAATCAAATATTAAAATCATGAATAATCGTACTTGTCGATCGCTATTAAGCAGGCCTGTATATTGTTGTGGTGACATCTGAAACCAAGAAAGTCCTTTATAAATATGTGCAAAGTTTGTATTTTTTGTTTTTAGTGTTTAAATATTAAAAAAGCAAATTGCTCCAAAACACTGTACATGTTTACTCTAAGCAGTAGGTTTGCATGGATTAGGGAAGTGTTATTTTTCTCTTTCTATTCTGAGTAAACGTGAGAGTTTGCCCAGGTGTGATGAGCTAATTTTATGAATTCTGTATGAATTTTGTGCGCCCTACCCAGAGTCAAATTTTTTGCCTCTTCTCACCGTAGAGACGACCGGAGTTTGTTGTTTGTGAAGCATAGAGTGGTGGTATGAGGCCGTTCCGACCTAGAGGAGCAGAGAGGAGGAGGTCAGAGAGATCAGGAATTTAAACAACACAGTCAACACTAATGAAATGCTACTCTCAGTACGCCTATATTCAACTCGGTGTATTTTTGCATGGCCAAAAGTTGGCCATCATCTACCAGGGCTTACCAAAATTGTTGATTTAGAAAGGTAGAGAACCAAACAGTGAAAGTCATGAGTCAATAACAGACAAGCAGATTAACCAGCACTCAACATATGTTTGCAATGTTTATTTTATTCATTTATATTTTACACTAGTTTTACATTTTTACTAACTTGGTCCAGTAAAAGATGGAAGATATTCTTACTTACAAATCTGTACTCACTGCGTGTTATGATTATTACTTCTTTTTCTTAGCTGCTTTTATTAAGTAGTAGTCAACTAAAAAAATTCATGACTTAACACAAGTCCTGCCGATCAATAAGTTGACTAAAAAGATGATATGACAAAATTTATTATGTATCTCTGTGTACTTTACCCATATTGCATTGAATGGGAGTTCATGCAAAAATAATTTATGCAGAAAAAGTACAAATCTTCAGCTCAGTCACTCACAAACTACTCCTTTCTGCTGTAAATCAATGCAAGATGAATATGTTTAATGCCATAGTGTGGAATATTCCAAGCAAAGGAACAGTACTTCTGTGGAGGCTAGAAGATGGCAGAACACATACTCATAAAATTACTTAGTGCACCTTTAACAACAATATTCACCAGATAATCTGAGCCAAAACATAGCCTCGTGTTCCCCACTGTTTTTTTCTTGTTTCCCCGGGACAGCCCACCCTCACATTCTTCAGTGTAATTCATATTCAGATCCTTGGATTCACTTGTCACTTTCTTTCAAAGTCTATTCATCCTTCATTATGTCTGAGCACAGGGCCTCTCCTCTCATTCCTCCTCTCGCCTCTGTATCGTTTTCTGTGTCTAACAGATTCTAGTAGCAGCTCTGTCACTTGTTATTGGTTGAAATGTGATATTAAGGTTTTATTTTTTGTAATGAAATGTATCTTTGTAAATGTAGACAAATGTAGACAAGTGAAACTCAGAAAGAGACTTACAGTTTTTCCCTGATGTGTTTTTATTGCTGGGTTTCGCATGACATCAAAACATTCTATAGACCAATAATATTTCACATTGTTGAGAAGCACTGAGGCCTGAAATAATAATAGGATAGGATAATAGGATTACTTAATTTTAAACATACATGCAATTAATCACAATACTGCTTTGAGGAACGCGGTTATAACGTTGTTAAAAGCTCATAAATGTCAGTTTATATAGTATATTCCCTCTAAGCCGAAATCAGTTTTTTGTTTATTTTGATCTTGTGAATATACTGTTGCAGTGCTGAAACTGTCAAGAACTTGTTTAATTAGCGATGCCGTGAAAGCCGCTTGTTCCCGGATGACTCTGATCCACTGAGCTGTGTGATTGGTTACATCATCGCGGTGTCTTTTATCTCACGCAGGTTTGGTGGGTCAGTCCCAGTGGTCCGAGCACTTCTCCGACTGTGCAGGATCCTCTCAGTCCCCTGTCGACGTGGTAACCAGTCTGACCAAATACGACCCTTCCCTGACCCCCATTAGTCCGCTGGGCTACAGTCAGCACAACCACCAGCCATTCACGCTGCTCAACAGTGGCCACACAGGTAACTAGCACAACTACTATAACACTGTCCATTAAAGCTTACATATAGATCTCTTTTAGGTTTATTTCAGTATCATATTACAGGTGAATGCTTCTGTGAATTATCTTTGAATTGTTTTTGTTACTATCAATATTAAATTTGAATTAAAGATATTTGTCTTGTTTGAGGTTGTGTAGAAAAGAGCAATATGATTTAGTTTTTTGGCCATAAGAATATTTGTTGAGTGGAATTTTCTTACTCCATTGGTAAACAATTGAACTTTCTATGGAAAAATCTTTAAAACAAGTTCAATATACTTTAAATAATCTATGCATTGTACGTTTTAAATTCTATACCAAAACAACTATTATTAGGAATTCAGGTAATTTGCAGTGCACAGTTCAGTTTAATACAATTCTCCCTCTCTCTCACATCTCCCCTGTTTTCAGTTATGGTGTCCCTTCCCGAGTGGATGGGTTTGGGGGGGCTGCCCTGGCTCTTCAGTGCTGTCCAGCTGCACCTGCACTGGGGCAGCGGCGGGCCCAGTCACGGGGGCAGTGAACACACCATCGATGGGCTGAGCTCAGAGGCAGAGGTACGTCTACACTCACACATATTTGACTTTATTTTATCAACATAAGAGCCTTTCCACTGAATGTTTATGTTAAAGGTGCAACTTTTCTGATGGAGGATATGCCATCTGGAGATGTTATTGCTTTGTCAAGAATGTTCCGGAGGATGGCATTACACTCATATATGTAAACAAGCAGGTTGTCACAGTGCGAATGCATGTTTTTCATGGTATTTTTGAGCTATTAAAGCAACAGTAATTGAATAATAGCTAAATGGATATATTAGATACCAAACTTTAAATGCCATAATTTCTTACCTCTTCAAAACAAAGTTCAATGCAATTGTTAAGTGTTTGCCATCCAGCTATAAGGTCACATGATCAGATATTTAGCTTGAGATACTTACTTGGTGTCTCTGGGTCACTGAATAAAGTCGGGCGTACACTGTGCGATTTTTGGCCCTTTTTGAGCAAATTTTTCACTTGTGTTTTTAGGATCGGGCCAAGTTTTGACCTAATCGTGTGTCGTGCTTCGTGTAGTATACATGGGGTAATGAAAGCTGATTAATACCTCATGACTTGCTCCCGATCGGCAATCGCAGGTCACAAAAATATCAAACCTGTTTGAAATCCACTCGGCTCCCGTGAGGGTTTCATTGTTGAAGTAGTTCGTAAAGCATGAGAACATGAAAAGTGAGCTGTGAATTTTTAAACCTTGCGATTTGGTCGTACAGTTTGAGCTGGGGGGGAGTGAAACGATCAAAAATATCACACAGTGTACGCCCGACATAAAACACTTGATCTACATTACCAACTCCAGTTAATAATGTGGTAGGGAGGGCATCTGGCATAAAAATCTGACAACCCATCATGTGACCAGTTCACTATGGCACTTAAAACATTCTTGTACATTTTTTCTACAGATAAAATGGAATAGATTAGAATATTTTAAATCATATATTGAATTTTACCGACAACAAACAGTGTGGAGCACATTAGGTTGAAGGTCATGTTGTTCTTCTGTCATGGAGCAGTTTCCAAAGCACTGGACACTTAAGGCCTGAATGCACTGATGAAAAAGACTGGGGACTTTTAAGCCGATTAGTGAGGACTGGAGTGGTGCAAGCTCAAAAAACATCAGAAACAGTCACACCAGTATAAATGATTAATGTGGTCACTTTTACAGTCAAAAGAATGCGTTGTGTTGATACGTACATGAAACCTCATGTCATTTTTGTTTGATGTGGATAGTCCCAGTAATTACAAATAAATTTACTGTAAACCATGTCAAAATATTTGCTACTATAGATTTCTAACCTACCCTTCATCTTAATTTTAAACCATATTTGAATGCAATCTATTAAGCACATGTTACATTTATTTAAAGGTTCCCCATGCATTTTCCACCTGCTTGTCTCAGGGAGATGTTGTTATTTTAGGCTCGGAGCCAGGTTCACTCCTTAGGCTGTTTTTGGCTACCTTTTTTTCACTATTATTTCCTGTTATCTTATATCTTGGGCCATTACAAGTTGATAGGGACCAACTCCAACTCAGCCCCATTTGGTCTCACACCCTTTTTAGGAAAATCTATTTATGTAACTGTAAATATTAAGGTACTACAACTACAAAAATGGTCAAATAATCCAAAAAATTTTACATGGTGTATCCTGACACAAGAGGGAAACTAGCAGAAAAATATTCTGGGGCTCGCTGCCTTTCCACTGTCAAATATTACCCTCAACATACCCCAAAAGATAAAAAAATGTCTGTTCACCTGATAAATTGTCATCAAAAGTGATCATTTTAAGCATTTTACTGCATATATCACTGCCTTAAATGTACATGAAAAACTCCTCAAATTTACAAGCTTCAATTTAAGCCCAAGATAACCTTTGTATCTAGAGGGACACAGCTGCTATGACCAAAGTTCTTCACTGTACCTCAAATTGGCAGAAAGCAGAACTTTCAAGCATTACCATTTCATATAGGATTAAGCAGGATTCTTTTCATAAAAACAATATTTTAAAAGACTTGACTTATGTACTGCTGTACTATATGAAGTGAATTACATCAATTGAATAATATTCAAACTTCAGATGGACAGGGGTCAGGGTGCAAGATAAAACTATGGTAACCAGGTTCACATACAAACACACACAACCCACCAACATCCTAACAATTCATGCAATATCCCATCAGACGTTATTTTGCCTGGGATGTTCCACAGTATGGTATTAAACCTTTCTATCTTCATGGAGATCAAACCAAACCAAGTTACAGGTCAGGTAACCCCGCTCACATTCAGAATGCCTGTTATTGAAGTTATTTTTGAGCTAATAAACCACTTGTAATTGTAATTGGAAAAAAAACTGTAAGGTAGAGCTTTATAATGTCATATTGTGGAGTATTCCAGACAGAGCAATGACATATTCATAGAAACAAGCAGGTGATAGACCCTCCACAAGAAAAGTTACACAGTGCAAACAGTAATTGGATAAATTCAAAATTAGTGTAATACGATACTCAAACCATTAACAGTCTCCACCAGAATAGTTACACGATACACCTTTAATCTATATGTTTCTTCTTCTTGTTGTGTTCTTTCTCAGCTCCATATTGTCCATTACAATTCTGAGCTGTTCCCCAACATCTCTGCAGCGATGAAGCAGAAGAACGGCCTGGCTGTTTTAGGAATCCTGATTGAGGTTATACAGAAGTCACCACAGTTTTCATAGATTGCTCTTTTAAACAAACACGATGTAACATTTCAGATTTATTCCAGGCAGGTGACGAGACCAACCCGGGATTTAACAACATCATCCGCTACTTGAGTCGAATCAGGCATGCAGGTACACCACGTCTACTGTCTTTTCTTATCTTTGTGATTCAACAGAATTCCAAACATTATTTCATTCACAATTAATACCTGGATTTTAGTAGTTACCATTTATTTAATAACACAAGATGGATTTAGCCATAGAATCTGGCAACCAAATAAATTTTGTTTTCTGATTCAGATTATATGCCCAAAAATCAAAACAAAAAATGTTAATATAAAGTTGTAAAATTGTTTTTGTTAAATTAGATTAACTACAAATTGCTGTTGTTTTCAGTAAAATCAACCTGTGGACATATCTAGGAACTAGGATTGTCAAAAGTATTGAAAAATCAGGCACTAATCGATTGTAAAACTATTATTGAAACTAGATCATCATCTTCATCTTTTAAACAAGTATCAATACTGAAAATAAATCACATAACTGGGAAAAAAATTTACCTTTTTTGAACAGTTTCAGAGTTTTATCACAGCTATTAAAACTAAATGGTATACTATAATAACAGAAAATTACAATATTGTCAAAAAAACTATTTGAGTATCAAAATCAGTACTGAGTTGAGTCTTAAGTCTATTTTTTGTTTGCAATTTTAGTATCGTAGCAACACTACTAGGAACACAGATTTTAATCACCTTCAAACATTCGGTGCTGCTACTATTAAATGTTCAGTTGGATGTTCACATTCATGTGTATATTTTGAGTTTGAAATGGGTTTTGGTTGGTCCCATGGTTAAACAAAAGAACATTTATTATCACTGTTTACTTTTTTGGCAGAGCAGGAAGTTCTCATCCCGGGGTTTGATGTTTCATCGCTGCTACCCAAAGACCTCAGCCGTTATTATCGCTACAACGGCTCCCTGACCACGCCCCCCTGCTACCAGGAAGTCACCTGGACTGTGTTTTACGAGAAGGTCAAGATCTCCAAGACCCAGGTGAGACAAACAGAAGTTTAGAAAGATAAGACAACAGATTAGAACGGCAAGGTAGCAGTGCTGTTGAGATTCAGTATCAGTTTTGACAGCACAATCATAAACAAAGATATATTGAATGACATTTTTAGCACAGCATTATATTAGTCTTTATAATATTATCATTTAGTAGTTCTGGTAAATCAAGATCACACTCAAATTATTCAAGAAAGGTCAAATTTGTGATTTTTTTTTTCTCAATACTGATACTTCAATTTAGTATCTACTTTTGAACTGATTATTCGATTGTTTATCTGGGATCCAAATGTTTTAAGAACCTTATAAGATAGACCTGTATTAATATTATCATGGTGAAATGTGCTTTTAAATCAAGTGAAAATGTGTGCATAGGTAAGAATACATATATATATACAAATGCCACACTTATATTTTAGCCACAAACTTAATGTTATTTGTAAATCTACCGTTACGTGCTTACTTTCACGTACTTAACTAATATTTTCTGTAATCCAGGATAAACTTATAAAGCTGGATACAGTGACACAACTTGTGACACACTGGCCTTTTAAGCCGAGCAGCTGAGGTTATGCCCTAAGACGGAAACATTGGGGGAAAAAAACAATCACAAATTTGGTGCACTATGCAACTTTTAGAAGGTCCGGATCTGTGGAGAGAAGGGATGTAACGATATCCTAATCTCTCGGTACGATATTATCACGATATACATCTCACATAACGATATTTATTGCAATATTCTGGAGAGGCTGATATAATTGTAGATGGAACACTTTTTTGCTTTTAAAATACCCTGACAAGATTTTGGTGTGAATTATTTCTGTCATAATCCCAAGAATTCAAGTAAAAAACATATAACTTCATGTTGTCTGCACTGAAATGAATCATGGGATATGTAGTTCCCGATATTTATTAGCTATTGCTACTCTAAAAAAATGCATTTAAGCAAAGGAACTTGTAATTCGATATATTGTGACCCCCCACGTTATTATTGTGAGACTTGGCGATACAACATCACGATATTTCAGTTATTGTTACATCCCTAGTGGAGAGGTGATCTTGCTCGCAGTAAGAATTTATGCTTTTTAAGATATTTTTTACCAATAGCTTTTTAACTTTTTTACCATGACTGTAATTTAATCGATCAAGTTTTATACTTTGGAACCTTCCAGATGACGTCTTGTCTACCAGTCTTCATAAATAATCACAGTTCTCACTATTTTGGTTTGAGCATGTTGTGACAATAATAATCTGAGCATTAACGTCCACATTGATGCCTAGTTCACTACTTTTGAAGCCATTTATTTTATTTGTGTTTTCTGTTTCAGCTGTTCAAACTGGAGACAATTCTTTATTCGAGTAAATATGAGGAGATGGACCGGATGCTTCTGCAGGACAACTACAGAAGCACACAGCCGCTCAACCACAGAGTCATCTACAAGTCCTTCTCTGCAGGTGAACTCAAGGGAGCACAGTTTATAACCAGGGCTGGGGATCAGAAAGGCATAAGCAACATTTCAATAACATTTAGCATTTTTTAATAAGAGTTCATATAAATCCTAGAGCAGCAAATTTGTCCTAAAAGCTGAAAAGACAAATACCAATTGCTTATTTATGAATTAAATTTATATACACATATATCTATATATATAGTTATTTATTTTATTTGTAACTAAAGTAGTCTATGCCTCCAACCCTTATTAGTGAAATCTGTCCGTTTTCCTTTTTGGCCCATCAAACCTTCAAACTCACCTAGTGCCTCCGCTCAATTTTATTTCTCTCCAGCAAGTAGGCCAGGAATCAAAATATAATAGACGGTTCGCAAAAACCCCGGAAGTGCGAGTTCAGGCACCAGCCAATCAGCGAAGAGCCATATATTCAGTGTTGTTAACGATTCCCAAGATCGAGGATTTAAAGCTGGAACAAAGAGAATGTTTGGTGAATTTTATCAAGAGGAAAGACCTTATTGCCCTTCTTCGTACGGGATTTGGGAATAGCTTAATATACCAGTTAGCCCCATTAGCAGCACATTACATACGCAACTACCAAATAGAAGTGATTGGTTAAATGATAAAAAGTATCCGCCTACTGTCGAGCGAACGAACACTTCTAACACTGCGAGGTCAGACGGTTTCTACGAAGTGAAACCGGCTGATGAATCAGGCTAATGGACCAGGTAATAAACCATAAATCATGACAAATCACTTACACATTTAATTTAAGTCATATTGTGTTATAGAATTTATAGCTACCCTCTATCTCAATGTTACACTTAAAGGTCATCGCACAACTTTTCTCGTGGAGGGTCTGCTATCTACTTGCCTTCATGGAGATGTTATTGCTTTGCCTGGAATGTTCCACTGTATGACTTTAAACATATCCATCTAACATTTATTGATTATGGATGTTTCTACTCAAAAATATAATATTTTCTTTTGTGAATAGGGGCGACTCTCCATAGATCTGAATGTAATGTAGCGTAGTGTTGTAACCTGCTTGTCTTTCTCATGATAGAAAGGTTTAATCTGTACTGTGGAACATTCTAGACACGCAATGACATTTCCATGGACTCTCCATTAGAAATGTTATGCAATGCAACTTTAACTTCAACTGAGACCACCAAACCTGTATGTCCATTAGTGTAGTTTGTTGCAGGAGTAGACCCAGGAATGTGTGGGAAAAGAAAGAATATTGTGGATTACAGTTTTGAGAGCTTTCCAAGAACACCGAGCTCCAAAAAACAGTGAAAGAGAAATACCAAAACAGAGCGGTGTGTGCAGCTGATTAGGAAAGGATTGTGACAAGACAAACAGTGAGCGCATTGTTGCCAAGAGAGTTGGACAGTGACAAGAGGAGCAGAAAGATACAGAAGAGAGAGAGAGGGAGAGAAAGAGATTTTGAGGAGGAACAAATGGGAAAGAATGTGTTTAAAGTGGTCATTGTGGAGGGCGAGTGAAGCGTGAGGCCTGTGATATCAGCAGAGATGTCAAAGCAACCATGACATCACCTCAAAATGGCCGATCCAGTTCAAACGAGCCACTTCACTTCTGGCTCTTTCACAGACCGTTATGTATCAGACTTATCACTTATCACAGATGTCCTGTTTTTTATAGTGAAATGTCATAATATTTTAATTATTAAGTCCTGTTTTAGCCTTGTTTTGGTCTTGGTCTGTGTTTTGTTTTAATTTCAGTGAACTTATTTTGCCAAAAAGTATTCAAGTACTGGAATAATTACAACAAGCACCTATCTGAATATTTTTGTGAATTCATCAAATATAAACATACATATTATTGAACATATTAAGTTATTGCTACAGTAGGTTTTGTCTTAAAAATGTACTTGTGTCTCTTCCAGAACCAGGGAAGGAGTTGTCTTCAGGTGAGTTTTGTTTACAGTAGAATCTCTAATACCTTATGCCTGTGTGTAGTGTTTGTGTAAGCTCTGGTTTGTGCAGGTGAAGTCACCGCCATCGTCATTGGAGTGATCTGTGGATGTGTGGGGCTGGCCGTCATCATTCGCTTCATTATAAAGACCATTCGGTGAGTGTCTTTTTAATGTTTTAAGTGATAAGTTAAGGTGTGTAATTATTCTGTTATTAATAAAACGATATGTGCACTTTCTCTGCCACTCAAAACATAGAGCAAAGCCTGTGCTGATATGTCTATGCTACAAAACATTTAAATATATTAGGGCTTTACGTTCTATGCATGTTAATTTTGACAGAATAGAACTAATCGTTTGAAAAATAAGTGTGATTTCAATAATTAACCAAATATTAATCATAATTATAATTTTTACCATAATCAAGCAGCTGTAATGTTACATGTGTTTTCTGTCTGTGATCTCTGTTTTGTCTGTCTCTTTTCCCTGTGTCAGATTTTTCACACTTCTTCACCATGAAACTGAGGTGGTGAACAGGTGTCTTAGCTACTTTCAAAACTGTCACTGACACACGTCTCAATGTGTAAATCAACTAATGATCTTGACTGGAAACCTAATAATATGGTTAACCGGAGATGCTTTTTATTTAGTCATAGTTGTGAAATGGTTAATTATCACTTAAAGGTGCATTATGTAACTTTTCTGGTGGAGGGTCAGCCCCTTGCTTTTCTCCATGGACATGTTGTAGCTTTGCTTGAAATGTTCCAGAGTATGGCATTCAACTTGTCATTTGTTCAAATAGTGGTGTTGTTATTGCTCAACATTTCTGTAGAACATTCTTTTTTACAGTGAGTGGAGTCGCCTCTCCACAGATCTGACATAAAACTTGTCCTAGTGGCACTGCCTGCTTATCGCCATGGAGATAAAGAAGTTTAATGCCTTATATGGGACATTTCACTCCACAGAGACAAGCAGGTGGCAAACCCTCTATCAAAAAAGTTATATAGTTCCCCTTAACTGGTATAAAACTAACTACACTAAAAGTATCACTATTACTGATAGTTTCAGTTTTCGGTTACAAAGTCCAACAGGTGATTATTTTAACTTTTTGAGCCAAAAAGATTAACCTACATTTAACCTTTTGTTTCAGTAGAAAGCAGTGAGTGAATGAGCCCAAAAGTGTGTGAAGCCTTCTAAGCGTCTAATACTCTTAGTGCTGGGATTTTGATTTCATAACTAGTGAGATTAGCACTTAGAAATTGCATGTTCTGCCCTATTCACTTTTCTGTTTAACTATTATTTCCTCACAAGTTATTATTGTTGTTGTGATTGATATATATATATATTTGCTCAGCTTTGTTTTGCATCTGAGGCTGTGTTCATGCTTGCACATAGACCAACTCAAACTGGGACTAAACCGCGACTTAACCCAGAAAAACACTGAATTAGACCTTGATTTAAATTTGACTAAAGAACAGGACCAAACCAAGCCTATATCAGGACTAAACTGGAATCAAACCAAGTCAAGTCTGAACTGTGAACACAGCCCAATAAACAAGGTGGTCCAAATACTAATAAAATCACAAAAATCCCAGTCTATGTTTGTTCTATACTGTTGAAGAATTGGCTCTTTTAATTGAGCACTGTGTAACTTTTCTGGTGGAGGATCTGCCACCTGAAAGACAAACTGGCATCAATACGCCAAGTTGCAGGTCAGATCTGTGGAGAGGCAAGCCCACTCTGAGGAAGTATGTATGTTTTTCAAGACCAAGCAGAATCTGTAATTGGACAAATGCAAGACTGATTATAACTTTAAAGCTCCTGTATATTGTGGAACATCCCCATGGAGACTCTCAAGTAGCAGACTCCCCACGATAAGGTTACATAATGCACTTTTAAGGCTAATCACATCAGTGCTATTATTGTAACATGCTCCGACGTTGATTTCTGGTTGATTGGTCACATGGTGTGTTTTGATCCTACGACAGCTCGACCTCTAGCTGGGACCTCCTGCACAGTCAGCGGCCTGCTCCCATGCCCAGGTCTCCGCAGCAACGTCCTTTGACCTTTGACGCTTTACCTACCAAATAATTCCAGCACATTTCTAACTCATCCGCTTTGGTTTTAGGTCCTAGTATAAACCGTGTAAGAGCTAACCCCCTCCTCTGTTTTAACTCTATACAAAAAGTTTTTTTAACAAGGCATCCAAAACATTTTACCCTGCATTATTCATACTATTGTACTATTGTAGCCACAGCTGCCCTGGGGTAGACTGACAGAACCATGGCTGCACAATAATTCTAATCCACATCCTCCACTACTGCAGTATTGCCCAAGTCTAACGAAATGGCGCCCTCTGGTGTATTTCATAACTAGTAGCCACACCAATAGTTAAAAGTTGTGGATGGTTGAGTTTTCATCTGTTGCAATAAACTTATATTTTTTGTTGCAGGGAAAACGATGTTGGGAAACTGAACAGCAAAAAACAAGACGTGGCTGTGAATTCAAGACCCGAGCGAGAGAAGAGAGAGGAGGTCGTCCTGTCTCCTAAAACAGAGCCTTAGCTGTGAACATTTTACACACTGTATATTCTAGTTTATTTATTAGGGCTGCACAATATAGCACATTTCTTTTTGTTGCACTATCCAATTGTTTTTGTCCTCAGCCTGGAAAACGTTTGTAACTGAAGACTTATATTTTGAAGTCAGATAAAAACATGGGTTCACATACATTTTGACGGACCAGAATCTTGATTTAAAATTCTCTATGGAAAACCTCTCTGGGAGCAATTAGTGTTATCATGTTTTTAAATATTGTCTACTCTTTTCTACTATTGTGCAGCCCTGTATTACTACTCTAATCAAAAGGTCTTGATTGACACTCCTTAAATGATATATTAATTTGTATTGGGACAAGGGTCTTGCTATTTCCCCAATGCATTTGTTTGAGTTTGTAAATTTATTTAAAATTGTTTTATGGTCCCCCTGCCTTAAATAAAGTACAGTAAGTCCAAATTGAGAGTTCACAGAGAACCACTGATTTGCTTAGCCATAAAAGTCAGGGACCCACTGTTCCTGGTTGTTGAATATGTCATATGTACGTTTTGTTCATCTGTGTTGTAAAGTGTTGTAAATACAGTATAAATACATGTTCAATAAATGACAAAGTGTTACTTACTGGTTTTTCATACAAGGTCCAATACAAACTGATTTAGAAGTAAATCTATACGCCCAGAAACACGCGAACACGACCACCCCCAAAACAGATACGCTATATTTTTAGTGCACGAGAATTCTCCCTCTCTCTCGCCCTCTCTCTCTTTCTGTCTCTCTCTTTCTCTGTCTCTCTTTGCTTCTCTCTCTGTCTCTCTTTTTCTCTTTCTGTTTCTCTCTGCCTCTCTCTCTCAATCTCTCTCTCTTTCTCTCTATCTCTCGGAGTGTCTCTCTCTCTCTTTCTCTGTCTCTCCCTCCACCTCTCTCTGTGTCTCTCTCTCTTTTCTGTCTCTCCTTCCACCTCTCTTTGTGTCTCTCTCTCTTTCTCTGTCTCTCCTTCCACCTCTCTTTGTGTCTCTCTCTCGTTCTCTGTCTCTCCCTCCACCTCTCTCTGTCTCTCTCTCTTTCTCTGTCTCTCCCTCCACCTCTCTGTGTCTCTCTCTCTTTCTCTGTCTCTTTCACTGTCTCTCTCTCTCCCCCCACCTCTCTGTATCTCTCTTTCTCTGTCTCTTTCTCTCTCTGCCGCTCGCTATCTCTATCTATCTATCTATCTATCTATCTATCTATCTATCTATCTATCTATCTATCTCTCTCTCTCTCTCTGTGGTGTCTCTCTCTCCCTCTCCCTCTCCTTCTTTCTATCTATCTATTGATCTATCTCTTTCTCTCTCTGTGGTGTCTCCCTCCCTCTATGTCTCTCTCTCTGTCTCTCTCTCTCTCTCTCTCTCTCTGTCTCTCTCCGTCAGAGGAGCGTCAGCGGAAGTGAAATTGGTCTCACGGGTGAAAGTGACGGGAGAACACATCTGAAGGATTTCGCTTCTCCTTTTTTCTTTTTTGTTGCTTTTCACTCGCGGTTTCAGGTCAGTTATTCTGTCAAACAGCTGTTCCACATCCTCTTTTGCTTTACTGTCCACGTGGCTGCGGACAGCTGCTCTTAAACTATCTGCTGATTTCACAACACTGACGCGCTCTTTCTGCACGACGCTGTTTACGCACGAACTGGGAGCATAATGGGATTAAAAAACTGAACATAACTATTTCTGAACGTATGATCGTCTTTATCCTGATTTAGGATCGCAGCGGAATGTCTGCCCTGTGGGTTTATCTGCCTTTGGTTGCGTGTCTCCTGCTCGGACAGCAGACTTGTGCCAAAAACGAGGCTCCGTGCCAACTTTCCAAGTGGAACAACGGCTACAGGACTTTCTTAAAGCGACACATCCGCGACGGCACGCCCCAGTCCCTGGACCAGAACGAGTGGGAGAAGTACATCCGAAACAACGGCGGCTGTGATCGGCCCACTCAGTCCTTCCTCAGCCCGAAGGACCTGGATCGGGTCAAAGCCGTGTGCTCCGCTAAAGGAGGCAAAGTGTACAAGGAGAACCTGTGCATCAGCCAGGAGCCCTTCACGTTTGTGACGGTGCGGAGCGAGTCCGGGACCTGCGGCATCCGGAGCGTCAGGCAAGAGAAGAAGCACCTGATCCTGGCCTGTGAGGTGCTGGACAATCTATGCGTCCCGGTGCACTTCGAGGGGAACCCGACCGACCGGAGGCCCAGTAACAACGACCCGAGCTGCCAGGACCCACAGACCCGAGGGCACGCTCCGGTGTGCAGAGCCAGTGCCCTGTGGTTAGGCTCAGTGTTCCTCCTGCTGCTCCTCCTCTAAACATTTATTCATTTCATCTAAAACAGATCAGGGTTATTTTTATGAAGGTGCATGTGCCAATGTCAGCATCATCAATGTATGTGCCTTTTGGTTTTGATTTTAAAATGCGTTTGTATTTTGTATTATTAAGACTTTGAATGCACCTTGACTTGAACTCAAAGAGGTATTTTTTTGGTGTGTGTATGTTGTCAGTGTCAATAAATATAATCTTTTATACTTTAATGTGTGGCAAATCTGATGGTTTATTTTTCCTTGCTGCTACACCGAAGCACATTTTACTGGATCTTAAGCAATGAAAGCATTTACATAAACATTTTCAACTCTTTTCCAGAAGCTTTTGGTTTTTTTTTTTATTTATTTCACTCTTTATGAATTTCAGTAGTGTAGTAATTCAGCCTATAATTGTAACTTTTATTTTTTCATTTGAACTGATATTTGACACGTTGGTATGCTTATTATCTCCTCTACTACAAGACAGAAAAGGAATTAAGTCAGGGCCAAAAATATATTGAAAAAAAATTGAGTTCATTAAAAAAGCAGCAGATGGCAGCAGAGCTTTTGTTTCAACGTGGTTATTTTGGTTCTGAACTAACTTTCTGCTGAGATGTAGTGGTAATGTAGTTCACAATAACACATAAAATGGGAGTCAGAACAATCAATTAGATCTGTACTTTCATAGTTTATACTAAATAAAATGTTTATTTTATTGCCAACATGCTGCTTCTTTGCCTCAAACTAACAACAGCTAACATATCTGGATTAATGCATGCACAAAACTGGAGGAGCTGATAATAAGTCCATAAAATATGACCTAAAATTAATTATCTGAGCTTTGATTTAAAAAAAAAAAAAGAAAACCTGGATTTTATGAGTTTGTTGAGAGGCTGCAGTTAAGGCCAGTTCATCACTTCTGGTCACAGGTGGAAAAAGTACAAAACAAACTGTAATTAAGTAGAAGTACCTTTACTTTGCTTAATTCCTACCCAAGTAAAAGTAAAAGTAACCATCTAAAAATCAAAGCAAAAGTAAAAAAAAAAAAAAGTACTTTGAATTGAAGTAATTGAGTAAAAGTTACTTAGTTACATTTAATTATTCAACGTAAAAAAAAAAAAAAAAAAAGGATGAGTCATAAATTTAATCCAGCACAAGTTGTTTTAATCAACTTTTAGGTAATACAGTTCAAATTATGTTCAGTGCAAACTTTGTACATATTAAAGACAACGGAACTTTTTTTTTTTTTTTCGCATTTCTTTTTTTTTCATTCTGATTTTACTCAATAACAGGGGTGGGTTCCAGTGTAATGAAGTAAAATACTTGGGTCAAAATGTACTCGAGTGAAAGTAAAATGACCTATTTCATAAAAACTACTCAATTACAGAAACATGAGTAAATGTAAATTGTTACTTTCCACCCTTGCTTCTGGTTCAAACATTTGTGTTTGACTTAATTCTATAATTATAAGAAATAGAGCCTGAAACCTCTGACGCTGCCTGTAAAACCTCATTCGTGATTTCACCAAGTGCTGGATTTCAATATTTCTCTGTGTTTACTGAACAGAGGGACTAAACCAGAACTAAACCAGGACTTAACAAAGACTAATGTATCTGAGCCAGGTCTAAACCCAGATAATCCAGGGCTGAAGAAGAACTAAAACTAGATCTAAACCAGGACTAGACTAAAAATTAAACCAGGTCTGAAACAGGATCAAAAGAAAATTAATCTAGAACTAAACCAGGTCTAAACCGTGACTGAAACTCATTAACCAAGAACACACGACCAGGACTGAACCAGGTCTAGGGCTAAACAAGTTGAAACATGGCTCAAGGTATCAAACAGGACAAAACATTAAATTGGGTCAAACTAAAACTCCTTAACAATGCAGGTATTTAAACTCGGCACTAACCCAGTCGTCTAAAGCAGCGGTCCTCAAACTTTTTAGCTCCACGGACAGTTTTATGTCTGACAATATTTCGAGAACCGGGGGCTGCAGCAGTTCGGCATGGTTTAGTCTTGGTTTAGTTCTGTTTTAGTCCTGATTAAATCCTGTTTTAGACCTGGTTTAGTCCTGTTTAGACTTGGTTTAGTCCTGATTTAGTCCTGGTTTAGTCCTGGTTTTAGTCCTGGTTTAGTCCTGGTTGAGTGCTGTTTTAGTCCTGGTTTTAGGCCTGGTTTAGTTCTGGTTTTAGTCCTGGTTTAGTCCTGGTTTAGACCTGTTTTAATCCTGGTTAAATCCTGGTTTAGTCCTGGTTTAGACCTAGTTTAGTCCTGGTTTAGTTCTGGTTTAGTCCTGGTTTAGTCCTGGTTTAGACCTGGTTTAGTTCTGATTTAGTTCTGGTTTAGTCCTGGTTTAGACCTGGTTTTAGTTCTGAATTAGTTCTGGTTTAGTCCTGGTTTAGACCTGGTTTAGTCCTGGTTTATTCCTGGTTTAGTTCTGATTTAGTTCTGGTTTAGTCCTGGTTTAGTCCTGGTTTATTCCTGGTTTAGTTCTGATTTAGTTCTGGTTTAGTCCTGGTTTATTCCTGGTTTAGTTCTGATTTAGTTCTGGTTTAGTCCTGGTTTAGTCCTGGTTTATTCCTGGTTTAGTTCTGATTTAGTCCTGGTTTAGTGCTGGTTTAATCCTGGTTTATTCCTCGTTTAGTCTTGGTTTAGTCCTGGTTTAGTGCTGGTTTATTCCTGGTTTATTCCTGGTTCAGTCTTGGTTTAGTTCTGGTTCAGAGATGTGTATGGGAGGGGGGATTTGACCTTTCCCGACCTGGTACTGGTCCGTGGCCCGGGGGTTGGGGACCCCAGTCGGTCTAAAGTTGTAGCTCTAAACTAAATAAACCTTAAAGGACTAAACCAGCCTAAATCTCACATATACTCTATAATCTTCACACAGTTACTCAGTTATGTCCACGTATCACTGAGGAGAAAGCAAACATGGGCCAGGATCATAAAAGAATTATTTTGGAGTGAGAGGAGGCGCAGACCGATGCGATAAAAACTTAATTAACTTTTGGAGCAGCACACCGAAAAACCCACATTGTAAAACTAGAAGTATGGGAACATGAAGGTGTTTTTCTTCTCACTTTTTAGGTTGAACTCATAGCAGCTCTTTTTCTATTCTTTATTTTACATTGGTGACCGTAGAGGGAGTTTTAGTAGATTTATTGGCATATATTTATTTTGATACCAAGATTTTGAAGATTTTAGAATAGCATTTGCCATTCCTGAAACATCTCCTATAGTGTTTCCCAAACTTTTTTTCTGGGGGCCCATATTTTAAAAGTCACAATCCTTTGTGACCCAAGTCAGTATTTATTCATAAATCGCAAAATAAAGGTGGATTTGACCATTATTGATCGTGTCTCTCTGAACAATTAGTATTACACAAGTTTTAAACAATGAAAAACAGTAATTGAAGCAGCAATAAAAGGATCCATAAGTCACCTATTTGGACATTAAATGTGCCCATTTCTTTTTCTTTTCAATATTCTATTGAACCAGCAATATTGGAACAAAATAGTCAATAAAATAATTACAAAAAGATTAGAAATTATACAAAACATGTCTTAACATTTCATTATTTCTAATGAGAGGTGGGCCTGTCTGTTTTTGTAGCGTGTTTCAGTCCGGGGTGCAGAAGGAGAGCGCAGCAGCAGATCAGGCATAGGATTCTGTCTGTTTCTGAGCTTTGTCTTCATTTTTGTGAGCACAGAAAATCCCAATACACACATGTATGTAGTGAAAGGAATAAGCACAGAAATACTGGCCCTATTGAGCACAGGATATTCACTCGCTCTCTCATGTGTCAGAGCTGTATATTACATGCAGACCTACATGCAGATCGTGACAAGGCGACCCCAAAAAAATCTATTGCGACCCACCTGAGGGTCGCGACCCAGTCTTTGGGAAACAGTGTCTTATAATATAAGACTCACTGTTGTGCTTCCTGTCTCCTTCAACCATCACTGTACACAATCAGAAATTATGTAATTTTCTACTAAGGAACAATAGCATGAATGTAATTGCTTAGTATTAGTATAAATTAGTATTTGGTCATTGATTTATTTTTATTTTTTTTACTGTGTAGTAGCAGTAGTAGTAGCCTTAAATTTCATAGGTTGCCAACCAAAAACATATAATTTTCTCCAACCAAAACCATTGTTAAACATTTTACATGTAAGTAAATGATCTTGAAGAGCAGAGTATGCTTTTCGGCTTCCTGTTATATGTACCATTTTAAGGACTTTTTTCTCATTCAAAACATAATATTTTTGGATTCATAATCACTATGGCAATGGTCCTAATTTCTCATCATTCTGAAATCATGGACTTTTCTATGCGTGATGCGTATTCTGTTCTCTCTGCAATCTTCGCATGCGTTTTCTTCTTTAATAATCCCCTTAATCTCCTTCTATTCTCTGACCTCCTCAGCCTCTCCCTCTGACAATGCACAAAAATGGAAAAATAAACGTCCTGTGAGCCAGACACATGAATCACACCTCTTATAAAAACGGTAGAATGAGCATTTAACCTACAACAGCTTTGGCTTGTCTGATCTAACCGTGAGTCCGCTGTCCAGACCAACTCATAACAAATGAGAGCAATAATGAGGAGCACAGACTGCACAGAGAGGGGAGGGGGCTGCAGGGGGAGTGGGGCTCAGGCCAAAATGGATGAAGTGTGAGATAGATAGGAATCTGGACAATTATTTTTTATCAACATTTAAGGTATGTGTTGGCAGATTTGTCAAGTTGTGACTCAATATTTTCCCACTGAACAATTCAAGTTTCCCATATAGTTGAAAGTAATTAAGACAGGTTAGACATTTTATTATTACTATTTGGCCTATTGTCTGTGCATTTTTGACTGAATTTTGGTAGAGCTGGGTAGCATTAAGAAGTCACCGATACGATACATACCTTGACACATAGACCACGATACGATACATATCTCGATACACTTTCGGTTCGATACGATATATTTCAAATCGATTCAATACAGTTCAATAAAAAATGATGTCTAAATTATGGCTGTGATACTAAAAGTCTTTGTTAAACCACTTCTTGTGCAAAGATCATAAGAAACAAATCAATTTTAATCATTTAAACAGTGAATATGTCAAATGTGCTGCAGAAATTAGTTTTCTTTCACTAAACAAGCAACAAAACTTTAAGTAAAATACACCAAAAAATACTCTTGTTGATAGATCGATACA